CTTTTTCCCTGCTTCAAGACAGAATTTATGTTCCAACATTAAATGCTGTGTTGACGCAGGTTTTGCTTTACCGTCTCCGGTCGCCCAAAGCAAAAGGCTCTGGTAACGGAACTCTCAGTAATGAGACGGGGTTCGATTCCCTGCAGGGCCCTGCTGCTTATGCTGACTGAGGCTAACGCTGTTTCACTACACTTTACCATCTACATAAAGATAAACTAGGTTCAGTTATTCATTTTAAGGAATTTTGTCATAAATCATCGTAAAAATCTAAATTCCTCTAAACAGTGAAGAGCTGTTTGTCATACGTCACTAAAAAGATGTCTTACAGGGCAGCTCATGCCGCTAGTACGTCGTGTTTAGCTGTATTTTAATCAACTTCCTATTCAATAATTACAGAAATTTGTGTTTATAGTTGCAGCAAAAAGTCTGAACCCTATGTCGGAGTCCTGCACACATTTTAAAGCCATGATATGAAATTTTTTCATATTTTTAATTTAAATTTTCTTGAGCCAGTATGTGCTAAAATGACCGTTAACAGCAGTGGTATGAAGTTCCCAGCCTGGAGGGCCGGTATCACGCACGTTTTAGTTTCAACTGTTTCAACTCACCTGATTTCAACCAGCAGGTGATTAACTCCTTAGCATTCCAGCGTCCCGCCGCCGAGGGACAAATTCCCATTGCGCTGGAAATTTACGGGGTTAAGCTTCTGCAGAGCCTGAACTGCTGCACAGGTGCTTAAACAACTGAATCAAGCATATTGGAGCAGAGAAACCACTAAAATGTGCTGGATACCGGCCCTCCAGGACCGGAATCGAATACTCCTGTTTTAGAGGGTTAATGGACAGCTACCTAGCCCATATCGCACCCCTATGGCCAGAATATTCTACTTTCAACTTCAGACTGGCAGTTCACTCTGTTGGGACTTAAAAAATATTGAGCTGACATACCTGGAGCTGCAGTCTGCTTCCAGCACATTTCCTGCATGTTTTAAATCAGGGATTCCCTAAGTGTGGTGCGCGCGAGCTGCCGCTAGGGGGCACGCGAGCTGCCGCTAGGGGGTGCGCGAGATGAGAAGTGTAATGGCTGCGGAGCTCAGAGAAGTCTGTCATATGTCACCATTAGCGTAGCCAGAAACTCATTTGTGGGTGGGCCTAAGAAAACGTAAGTGGGCACAATAAATGCAATTGAAAACAAGTATATTTTTTGAGTGTGTGTGTGTGTGTCCTCCGCATGTGCCCTAGCTTCATAATAACAATGCGCTCTGAGCTTCAGCACTCTGGCCTGCGCACGCTGTCAATAGCAAGATATGTTCCGTACTTGATCATTTTTAACGGTGTCGGAGAAATCTGAAGGTGAGTCATTCTGGCAGATTGTAATTAACACCTGTCTCATGCAGGTGTTCTGACATTGTAAACCTCACACACGGAACATTGTGGATGTAACTAAATAAATCAAGAAATGATTCCCATTCAGGCTATTAACAGCACGCTGAAGATCTGAAGTTCAGAGTGCGTCTGTCAGAGGTCAGACGTGTTCCAGCTGAACCACGGCTCACGGGAGCACATCTGGGCTGGGCAGAAGTTTAAATAGCACCAATAACGAGACGCGGTGACTGGAGCGGCTCATGGAGCTGTGCCGCGCGTGCGCACACACACACACACACTGATTCAACAAGCGCATGCTGCGCTGTGCCGTCAGACTGATGGCAGAAATGAGCGCTGACTCCTCCGTGATAAAAACTTTTAAGAGGTTTTATAACATTTTTCATTCAAGGTCAAATTAAGATATTGGCTTCTATTTTGGGATGACGTATTAAAGTCGGGTCCGCTCCAGCCAGTGACTCCTCATGAACCTGACCACAACTCCTGTTACTGCAGCATTTGTTATTCCAGTCCGCGTGGCAGCGGATCGCAGATTCAGCCACCATAAAACAGCAATAAGTCGGTCTGAGGCAAAAGTGAACCTCATGTCTATATCTTTTCCATCTTTTCCCCTATAGACATTTGATTACGCACAAGTAGGTGATCAGCTCAGGTTTACGCAGAGCAGAAGGAAGGAGAGAGCTCTGGTTAAACGTTCCTGCTTTAAGAAAACTGTTAAATTGCATTGTTTATGTGCTACCTGGGCACTCTAAATATTTATTTAAAATTAAATCAAAGGAATTTGTAATGGTATCGAATGTTTATTGATGACTATTTAAAAAATACCTAATACATAAACATAAAAATGAAAGTGATGGGGAAAAAGGTCGATCATATTTTTTAACCCTGTCTGTCGAGTGACTGTTTAGCGTGACGTCTGATATAAATATTTATATATATCTGGCTATATATGTATAATATATATAAAATATATATAAAAAAAATATATATATATATATATATATATATATATATATATATATATCCGTGCAGATTTGGACTTATCCGAGCCTCCAGCTGAAGACCCTTTCACTTGTGGCTTCATGAAGACTGTGTGACTCAAGAGAAGAGCATGCTCCCTGTGGCGGTGAAAATCAGCCCATGGGATGTTTGATCCAGAGCCTCTGGCGTTTCAGACACTCATATTTGTCTTCAGATGGGATTTAACTTTTTGATCCAAAAGGAAAAGTTAAAACCTGAAGTCATTTATTTTGATTGTTTCTATCAGGCAGTTGTACTGGACCTTTAAAACTGTTGAGTTTCGTGTTGCTCATGTTTTACTGAAAACAACACGGTGATGGTGAGTGTGTTACTTTCTGATTCGTGTAGTGACATGCTGTCTATCTGAACATCTTTGATGTGTGACACACAGGAGGGACTGGGACTGGAGATGATGACAGGACTGGTACAGACATCCAACACCACAGACAAATAGACCAATAACAATAGACCCACCTTCCTCCACCTCTCTCCCTCTGTAAGCTTTTCTCTTTCTGGAGATCATCATCTCTTTCTTTCTGCTCCCTTTGACCATATTTGGTAGGAAGTTAAGGTGGATGTGAGACCGGGTGAAGGTATTACCTTGTTTGGGTTGAATCATCATACCTGGGACCTTGTGTTGTTTGATGCTGATGGGAGGTTGTGATTAAAGCCACATAAAGGTGAAGGTGAGAGGTTTAAGGACACGGTCTGAGGTGTTGTCCTGTGTTTGTGTCCTCTGCATGGCCTGGTAGGAGTTTTGTATCATGTTTCCACACAGCAGCAGCAACAGCAATGCCACGCCCCAGCTTCTCTTTAGCAAGACGGTGAGGAAATTCTTCATTCCTGCCAATTTAACACACGTCTACTGGCTCTTTAAAATCACATTAGTCTCCCAGCTTCGTGGTTGTGTGTCTGAAGTGTGTTGTATTTTTTGCAGAGGGCAACTTTAGCATAAAACCCTCACATTTAATTTCTTTTAACTCCAGACAAATCTCAAGTCCCATTTAAATCACTTTTAGACAACTGATCCAGCTTTAACACTTTTTAGAGAGTGACAGAACCTACACTGTAGAAATCAAAGTCAAAGTCTCCTTGCAGGACCTCACATGTCAGAGATTTAGACAGAGATCCTCTTATGATGAAAAGTGATGGAATTGCATCCATTTGGTCCAACCTTAAAGATGTTAGACAACTAGCACTCACACCATCTGTTGTGCATGGCTTTCAGCTGCTAATGGGAATATTTAGCTCTATGGTAGTCACTGTTTGAGGAACTTTTGCGCAGTACGAATGTCACAAATCACCATAAATTAAATTAAGCATTTTTAATTAAACAAAACCACGTTTTTGAAGCCCATCGGGAACAGGAAAAACGGGCTCACTGGTTTTTATTCCCCTTTATGTCTCATTTGAATATTCGGTGTGTGTTTCGGTGCATAGAGGTTTGTTTATACACTGGATGTAATCATTCAGCTGCATTTATCTGACAACACATAATTTGTTTCCGTGTTTTGTGATTTATTACATTCACCAACATGTCTAAAAATAATTTAAAAGTGAGAGATAAAAGCACCCCTTTGCAGAAACCTCTTCCGTGTTCTCTCGCCGTCTGGTGGTGAGTCAGTATCATTACAGCAACAATAAAAAAGAACAGTGGTTGCTACTTGATGGAAAAATTATGAAAATAAAATAAACTTTGTTTGAACTTGGAAAATTGATTTTTAGCTTTTTAAAAAGCACCACTATGACGTAAAATGTCGCCCTCTGGTGGCAATCTAGTGATATTTCATAAAACATCTTTTAAAATTATTTATTTTCTAAGATTTGGGTTAAACTTTTTCACTGAGTAAATAAGTCTGAGCTTTGGCTCTAAAAAATTAACAATATTTGATTCATAAAACAATGCTAGCTTACAGTAAGAACCGTTTGATGAATGAAGAACATTTTTTAAAGGGAAAAATGTTACGTTAGGCAACCTGTCCTTGCCTAGATCTAGAATTAGTCTGATTATTTTAATTGCAGTAAAATCGTGAGGAAAGGAGTTTTTAAGAGTCAAACAACAGACCAAACTTGATTTTGTCTGTTGTTTATTATTTCAGCTCAATTTATTCCAGTTGTGAACTTTAAAAACGCTTTTATGTCCTTTTTGGGCAGACGAGGCTTTTTTTCTTAACAAGATAAACATGTTTGTTTTTTTAATTGTCTGGTCATGACTAACCTTACCTTTAACCTGATAACTGAGGTTAACTAAAATTAAGCAACTGGGTTTTTCTAGTTTTTCTTCAGCAGTAAAAGTAACACTTTATGTTGTCTCTCACAGACTGAATGATAAAGTAACACCACTAATATGTCATACATGTATAAATATTTAATGTGTGGTGATTTTGATAGTTTCTGACAAATCCTGACACATTTATTTACACGGTTTTAATAAGTTGAGGGAACAGAATCTTTTGACTTTAAAATTCTTTATCCGCATGACCGCCTAACGGCTTCCGTAGAAAAGTGTTTTGCCCCGCAAAGGGAAACAATCAGAGGATATCTCGCGAGATCATCAGATCTGTTTCATTCATGTTTTACCGTGAGAGCTTTTTCGCTCTCGCGATGTTGTAACTTTCCCACGCTTGTTGTTTTGGCATGTGCCCTCTGCCGGTGCCCCTTCTCCACCTCACATTTACCACATTTTCTGCCCCGTCAAAGCTGCCCTTGTCCTGCTAATGCCCCTAACTCTGAAGGGCTTAAGTTGGGTGCTTCGCTCCAGACAAGGCTAGAGGGAGTAGTCTCGCGATTGTTCCATTTTTTTCTGGTGGAGTATTTTGGAAGATGGCGCCCGTTGTGACGGGGTGAGTGCTGAAATTCAAAGCATATGGTTGTTTAAAATGTCAGGTTTTGACGTAGTCAAGCATTGCTTGGTTCTGGAGGGTTTTTGTGTTAAGTTACTTTAGTTTTCGCCTTACCGTCTTATTTATCCGACTAATTTGTCGTATTGTAGCTCAACGTGGGGTCAGTTCAGCAGAGTCTGTTTCTCTGCCAATAATAAACACCTCTCAAGTTTGTTACCAGTTATTACAGAAGCTTTAGGGTCAGATTAACATTTATGTCCGAATTAAATCTCATGGATCACCGAAGCTCGTTTTATTGAAATAATGTTAACTTTGGCTAACATTCATCAGCATTAGAAATCCACCTTAGCTTAACTTCATTAACTTGCTTTTATTTTCTTAACGAACCAATGAAGCGACTAAATAATTATTTTATTTGTCATGTTTAATAATTTATTTCGACCTTGGTGTCTTTGCTTTTCAGGAAGTTTGATGAGCAGCAGCATCAGCCTCGGCGCTTAACAAGGTGAATACAAATCTGCAGTGGTCCATTAAAACAAACGATTCAGAGCTATCAGCTCCTAAACGGTTGGAAATAAAAGTAATCCACATTACTTCATTCCAGGGAGGCTATGAGGAATTACCTGAAGGAGAAAAATGATCAAACTGTACTCATACAGCACGCGAAAGTTGCTCAAAAGTCATATGGCAACGAGAAAAGGTTTGTGTGGGATTGTGTTTTCTGATTGGAACAGGTGGTCTGAGGCTACTTTATCATTTTATACTAATTTTATGTTCCATTTAGGTTTTTCTGTCCTCCACCATGTGTGTATCTGTTGGGCACCGGCTGGCAGAAGAAAGTGGAGCAACTAGAAAGGGAAGGTTGTACTGAGCAGGAATCTCAGCCCTATGCTTTCATTGGGATAGGGAACAGCGAGCAGGAGATGCAACAACTCCATCTGGAGGGAAAGGTGCATTCTCGTTTGTAATATTCACTTTTTAACAAAGCAAAATCCCACATTAATGCTGAGTCCAGTGTTTACTGTTAGACCTGCAGGATTAAGATCCAGTTCCTTGCCTGACAACACGAAGTTGGCTCTCTAAAAGTATTTAATCGTGCTCTTTATTACAAAAAGTTTAAACAAAAACAAAAGAACAACATCTAACTCATTACAGGCCTTATAGACCCTTTTACTACCTACGTCATCAAAAGTTGCGCGTGCAGCCTGGCAATGAGAGTGAAGGCTTCCTCATTCACACTCGATACTAAAACAGCCTTTCAAACCGTTTGTTTTGAAGTTCTGAGCACATAAAAATGTCGGGTTGTTGCGTGTATGGATGCCAGAATCGCTTCTCTTCAAGCAGTGGACTGAAACTTTACAGAATTCCGAAGGGAGCACATCCATTTCAACAAAATCGGAGGCGTCTGTGGCTGCAGGCCATCAAAAGGGTTGATGAAAACTGGACTGAAAACACGATCCAAAATGCTCGAGTTTGTAGCGCCCATTTTATACCAGGTAAGGTAATTATGTACTAAGATTACACCAGAAAGCTGGTGAACGTGTGTTCTATTAAATAAATAAGTTGCGTTTGCTGGTTTGCTTTTAAGCAGTCTATTTACAGGCGAGGTTTTCTGTTTTTCCCATCCTAACACAAAGCTCAACTTTGAATAAAATTGCTGCTGCGTGGCTGCAGCATGACCCAAGTCTGGAACATCAAAATGACAGAATTAAACAAATTATATGCTTTTTTTCATTCTTCAAATTAACATTTCATTCTAATTCATCTGTATTTTCTCACTGCATATTAGTATAAACTGTATTTCTCTAACACGATTGTACTCTGAGCACGCTAAAAAAGAAGCCTATGCTATACTCACCCTGCCATGCAGGTACAGTTGGCTGTGAAGACGTAGTTCTCTGGTTTGTTTACTATGACCCAAGCCTCGTACATAGCACTAGGGCTGCAGCTATCGAATATTTTTGTAATCGAGTACTCTATCGAATATTTTTTTCGATTAATCGAGTACTCTAATAAATTACCCTTTTGTGTTTGTAAACCATTATATCAAATAGCATGTTATAATTATGAAAGACCTCTTAAAATGAGCAAGCAGTTGCCAGTTATTCTTCAAGTTTTATTCAAAATTAGTTTGCAAAACTTCAGCACTTCAACTTTACTTCACAGTAAACAAATGCCTGTGCAAAAAATAAGTACACAACCTGAGCCGATTTTCCCCTCGTGCGAGAATCTGCTAGCCTGCAAGCCAGAGGATAACTGTTGAAGTAGCGCTGCGGGCGGCTGCGGCCCAAACAGAACCAGAACCGCTCACGGCGCATGCGCAAACAGCTCGCCGGCTGTTTCCCTATTAACACACGTCCGTTTTAATTTCAACACTTTTTTTCTCACACAATAACAAGGATTGTCGAGAAAGCATGTTTGCCGTGGTTTTGTCAAATTGTACTGATCACAAAACATTTATTTACTTTCTTTCGTTTTCCTCTCATAAATACCAGTAATCCTGCAGCAATCCCGAGGGACAACAAATATCAATAACAACACAATAAAAAGTCCGACGTTTTGTGTAAAAATGCTATTTTTTAGCACATTTTAAGTCCGACGTGTTGCTACCAGACGTACGGTGTGAGCTGAAACTGTGCTACAAACGAAAAAGTCGCAGTGTCCGCAGAATATATAGAAATACAGGCTAAAAAGCATTATCTTGTAGAGGCTCCGAGTCCGCTTGCAGAAGTGACATTTACAGGTGCTGCAGCACGGAGGATGTGGTGTTGTGGTAGGCTAAATCCATTTTACAGTATTTTCACTGGACTACGTTTTCCACCTTACGACGTGAAAAATGGTCCCACATCTTGACATTTTCTGTCTTTTTCGCACTCCACCGGGATCCACGTTGTCCGCCATAGCTTAAGATAAAGTTAAGTTACATTCCCTACTCGCGTGTGCGATTCAGTCCAGTGGGCATGTGCGTCACTTATTTCAGTCCGGGTGAAACATGACCACGGGCGACTGCAAAGCCATGAATTAATTAAATATGAATTAAACGAATCCTCGAGGCAGAGAATTTGACTCGAGGATTTTTTGTACTCGAATTATTCGAGGTACTCGAGGAATCTTTTCAGCCCTACATAGCAGTCTTGTGTCCTTGTCTTTGGCTAGGAAGGACTTCTGCCTTCAAGATGCAAAACTCAGAGTCTATGTCGTGATATTTTACTTTCTGTACGTGGCCACAGACAACATAGTTGTATGCCCGTAGCTTCTCACGTGTGTACTTACTGGGCCTCTCCACTAAAAACGTATATATATATCGGGCCACAGGATATCTGGCCACGCACCTACATCTTCCACCCATTCCGTAATGCCACAGGGATCCGGGAGTCTGTTGCCATTCGTTAAAGTGAGTTTAATAATATAACATTCAAGATTTGCCGGTGATAACCCCGCAGCGTAGCTTGATAAAGCCTGACACAACGCCATTCTCTGTTGCCAAGCTGCGCGCGCATTCTCGCTGACGTCATATTGTTTACAAACAGTAAAGGGTCTATGGTGTTATAGTTAAGGTCAAAGGTCATGATTCAACAATAAGAGAGAGGTGGAACGGGGGTTAAAAGGGCATTCTTGGAAGAATCCAAAGTCAAAACTTCTCTTGACAAATAAACAACATGAAGGCTGGTCTCACCAACATCAGGATGTAGTAGTAGTAGATTTTAAAAGACACACTGGTCCAGTAAATAAGGTAAAATGCTTAAGAGATTATAAAACCATCAAAATACAAAGTAAAATACACACATGATGATTCCCAAGACTGGGAACATAGTTTCTAAACTGACTAGACAAAAATGCACCTTTTTTAAAGGTGTGTATTTCATTACATCGGCTGTAAAACTCTTACTGCATTTCATAAAAAAAAACATCACACCACCAAACACGGAGGAGGTAGTGTGATGGTCTGGAGCAGCTTTGCTGCTGAAAGTGCACCCTCACAAAAAAAATCCTTTGATCTTTTTCGTCTTTGTAGAACTTCAGCACAGCTAAGACGCTGTACATCAGTGACTCAGACAAGAGGAAGCACTTCATGCTGTCCGTGAAGATGATTTATGGAAACAGCTCCAACATCGGAGTCTTCCTCAGCAAGAGGATCAAGGTCATCTCCAAGCCCTCCAAGAAGAAACAGTCCTTAAAGAATGCAGACTGTATGTCTTCCACCATACCTTGGTATTTGGGTTTGGTGTTTAACAGAAGTTTGGGTTTGATTTTTCTGTTTGTCGCTCCTCAGTGTGCATTGCTTCTGGGACTAAGGTGGCCTTGTTCAACCGCCTGCGTTCCCAGACAGTGAGTACACGATATCTTCATGCAGAGGGGGGCAGCTTTCATGCCAGCTCTCAACAGTGGGGGGCCTTCTACATTCATCTGTGTGAGTCAAACATTGGGCTTATCTATTTTTTTCCCTCGTTTGCAAGTTTAAAAATAAATCAACATTTAAATTGTTGCTGCATTTTGCTCAGTGGACGATGATGAGTCAGAAGGGGAGGAGTTTGCTGTGAGAGATGGTTACATTCACTACGGCCAGACGGTGAAATTGGTCTGTTCGGTGACTGGATTGGCTTTACCCAGGCTGGTATGTTGGCTGTCATACCCAAGCTCATGTCTGTGTTTGTGTCTCATGCACCTCTGGATGAATTTTATTGAAACTGTGTAAGTAATCACCGGATGTCCACGTTCAGTCAACCCCATTCAATGTGGCCGTCTCAGATGATCAGGCTACGCAAACATGGCAACTGCTTTTACAGATATTAAGCTGAGTTTACTGAGCTAGTAGAGCAAATGTCATTTGCACTTTTTGACTAAAACATCTATAACTAAATAAAAGATGGTGGAGCAAATGCATCATGTTAAGTGCCTGTGCCTTTAGTTTAGTCCGAGTGCAGGCCTAAATAAGTTTGCGTTTATTTTTGTTGTGTATTTTTGCTCTATTTTCCCTCAGATTATTCGCAAAGTGGACAAACAAGCCGCGTTATTGGATGCTGATGATCCGGTGTCGCAGCTTCACAAGTGTGCCTTCCACCTGAAAGACACAGACAACATGTATCTTTGTCTTTCACAGGACAAGATCATCCAGTTCCAGGTGAGCAGATGCATGCTCCTTCACACCCACACTCATTCAGATTGTTTATTTAGTTACAACGTTCCCATTACAGAACCGGTAAAATATCACATTTTACTGATGCTGCAAAACTATTTTCTTAGCATTTAAAACATTTAATCTGTTTTTATGTTTATGTTTATGTATTTAGCAGACGCTTTTGTCCAAAGCAACTTACTATTCCCAGATGATTGTGTTTTTTTATTGTGTGTCTCACACACACACACACACACACACACACACACACACACACACACACACACACACACACACACACACACACACACACACACACACACACACACACACACAGTCCAGTGAAAAGAGTCGCCACCACAGGGTATCCGCGGGTCCTTAAAAAGTCTTAAATTTGCTTTTCTGAATTTAAGGCCTTAAAAATCCTTAAAAATGGCAAATAATCCTTGAATCCAGTTTCCACAGGTCTTAAATGACCAAAGACCCAAAAATGTTCGTGAATTTCTAGTTAGTGTTCAACATTTTTTAAGTATGACGCTGGCGTAAGCGGAACCGTACACATTCAGTCGGCTGTGAAAGGGGGCTATTTTTAGATGAGCACATTAGCTGGTTAAGCTAGTGGGGAAGTGCAAGTTTAATGGTAACTGGATGGCTAATCAGGCAATAGCTAGAAATTATAGCTTAAATTTAATTAGAAAAATAGCTTAAATTTGGTCAAAGAGGCCTTAAAAAAGGTCTTAAAAAGTCTTAAATTTGGCTCCCTTAAACCTGCAGATACCCTGCACCAAAAAAAGGTCACACACTAATATTTCGTTGGACTGCCATTAGCTTTGATTACGATACGCAGTCACTGTGTCGTCGTTTCCATAAACTTCTGCAACGTCACAAGATTTATTTCCATCTAGTGTTGCATTAGTTTTTCACCAAGATCTTGCACTGATGATGGTAGAATCATCCGGTTAAAACTTAATAAAAACCAATAAATGAAATAAAAGTTACATTCAGAAAAGCCAATCATTAACCGTATGGCTGAATTATTATAGGAAAAGATAAAATCATGATTTCTCAAACAGAAGTTGTGATTTTAATTCAAAACATCAGCACAGTATTCAGTGTACGGTTACGTTTATTAACTCAGTCACTGCCGTTGACGGCAAAAGTCGTCATTTTAAATCCAACCGCTCACTTAACTGTGCGGGCGTCGGACGAGCCCCCACACTGTGAGAACAAACGTCCCAGCTCTGAAGCTGATCTTCATCCACGTATGTCACACGTCACGTGATCAGGAAGCAGAACATCCATGTGTTAGATCTTTTTGGGCCGCTGCTGTAAAAAAAAAGTGAGGCGCGAACCGGAAAAGCTTCTGCCGATCACAATTCGACAACGCATTATGAAAGAACGAATAACGCTCGAAACGCACGGATTCTTCCTGACGTAAGAGGTGAGTCTACTCTTTGTTTTATTAGTTTTGGCATCAACATCATCCTAGCGCGCAACGTTCTGTGACTCTTAAAAAAAACAGTAAAAGTGCTGAAAAATGCTGGCACCAGGGACTTTTCCGAACATGGAAATGGCTGGCAGTGAATGAGTTAACATGACAGGAAATGAAACCAGACAGCGTTAGAGTGGGTTAATGGGGAATTATGATGACCGTAATATTCAGTAACCAATCATAAGTGGTATTAGACAAGGAGGTGATGATGGACCTTGGTGCGTCTCCAATGCAAAATATATAGATGGCTGAAGAAAACCAGAACATTTCCACAAATATTAGGTTGTGTTAGACCAGGGGTGTCAAACTCAAACTCACACGGGGCCGAAATGAAACTCTGGGACGGAGTCGAGGGCCAAACTTGATATTTTTTGAAAAAGTGACGGCAAATTTGCACATTTTCTTTATCAACATTTATGCAATTTTGAACCTTTAAATTTGGAAACAAACTTACTTCTGCATTAACACTGAATGTGGAATAACCAAATTACACACGAGCAAGTCAGTTTTAAATAAAACACATCAGTGGTATTCATTACTTGTGGTATAATCAGCATTTTTAAAATCTTTAAAATCTTTTAATCTTTTAAATATTTTCTCACGGGCCTACAACAAAATACAAATATCATTTTATCTTAAATGAAAATGCAACATCTCACCTGTTAACTTTCATGTTTTGGAGCAGAAAAAGAGCATAAAACCAACTTATTTAAAGCTCAGTTTGCTCCACTGGTTTACTGTGATGCTCACCTGTTCCAGCCAGATACCTGCATCATGGGGTTGATCTGAGCTGAGGAGGAGACTCCTGTTGTTTTGTTCATCTTCATCATAATAATGACAACATTAGATGACAACAGGTGCTCACATAGGTTTGTGCTGATTAACATGTCTGAGCAGCTTGACCACGTTGTTGTGTGTCGGGGAGGAAACACAACGACTGCTGCCACAGAGTCGTGCTGGTTTGAGCGTGTCGCTGCTCGCTGGAGTTATATCAGCTCTGTCTGGACGTTAGTTGGAAAACTTTCTCTTTCAGTCGTGAACACTTTACTGAGCGGCTAGAATCTCCATTTCTGGGCTTCAACGTCAGAAAATAGCTGAGTGAACTCGGCACTGAGTGAGAGGAGTGTTTAGTTTGTCCGAGACAGCGGAGCTGCAGGCACCGGCAGCAGGCGCTGGAAAAAACACAAAGGAGGGGGCGCGTCGGCTCTGCGCGGACGCCGTAAAGCATCATGGGAGTTGAAGTCTTTGCGGTAAAATCGGCCAGCGGGCCAGTTTTAATATATTTTTGATATTTATCTCGTGGGCCACATAAAAATGCTCCGCGGGCCTTGAGTCTGACATATGTGTGTTACAGGATCAGCGAAGATGGAAGTCACCATCTATATAGGAGGTATACCAGTAGACATTGACATTTTAGACACTTTTCTCATTGTGAACATTTTATAGGATATTGCATCTTGTCACACAACATGTCAGATCTGCTCAGAATCCCAACCTGAACAACAGTCTATAAAGGGCTATTAAAGACTCCATGCTCCTCTCTGCATCTGTCAATGAGAATTGATTTTTCTTAATGAAGGCTATGCTTTAAGCATTTAAGATGCAGTACAAGTAGGGATGCACGTTTTCCAAAATTTCTTTAACCGGTTATTGACGCCCCTCCTTAACGGTCAATAGCCAGTTAACCAGACACCCCCCCCCCCCCCCCCACTAACACAAACACCTGCCCCCGCTCTATAAACAATAACGCTTTTTCCTTTTTAATATAATTCTGATGCACAACTAAGCTCGTTAGATTTATGAACAAGAAGTAAAGAGAGAGTTGGATGACAGCTGAAATGTCCGTCAGACTCGGAGCTTGTTGCGCAGCAGATCTTCTGGCATCAAATACGCAACACTGCTTGTGTTTGCGTGCTTATAAGCGCATTCTGGAGGCCACGGTTTTAAACAAACACTTTAGTTTCCTTACACAGAACAAAATAATTACACTGACATTTCTTTATTTCACTAGAGAGTCAGACGCAAGTAGGAGCGTCATGACCGACTGACTTGCTGCTGGTCTCGGTTCAGTTTGCCACGCCGTGTCCTGCCCGGCTCAGCTCTTTGATGTGAAGCTTATTGTGTTCCAAGAATGAACTGCTCTCTTAGGCCCTGTCCACACGTAGCCGGGGGTCTGCCAAAACGTAGATATTTTTCTACGTTTTGGCCTGTCATCCACACAAAAATGGAGTTTTTTCACACAAAAACGGAGTTTTTTAAAAACTCCGGCCAAAGTGAAGATCTGCGTTTTCTCCGTTTTGGGTGTCTGCGTGTGGACAGACAAAACCGGAGTTTTAAGGTCCGCAACGTCACTTTCCGCGACAGAAAAATGCTGACATCACGTGTGCGACCTGTGTTTACACTAGCCGACAGCATGGATGCCCTCAGAGCTGCGCTCGCTTTATCAATTGTCCAAGCGCTTTTTGCTTGTTTGTTTTTGCAAGCAGAATTACTGCTCCTTGTGGAAGACCACAGACGAAGGACGAGGTTAAGAACGGGGGAAGTACTGCCGCCTACAGGTCTGGCATGTCCTTAACAACGTATTTATCCGGGTACGTTTGGACAGAGTTTGTTTTTAAAACGCGGTGGTGTGGGTGCAAGTTTTTGGAGGGGCGGATATTCGTTTTTAAAAAACCCCGGCTACGTGTGGACTAGGCCTTAGCTAACTTCTTCCCGTTTGAGCTCCTTTCTCCTTCTGCAGTTGCCCAGTAAACATGTTTTGATAGCTTCACTAGTGCGCCCTCTAGTGACACAAGCTTTATTAAACCCACACGCAACAGTTAACCTGGAAAAACTATTTTACCTGGTTACAATATTAATGGCTTTTAACCGGTTAACTATGACCTTCCCTAAGTGCAAGTTAAGGATTGAACAAAAACAGCTGAATAAGCATTTTTTCATGTTAAAAGTCATTAATGTACAGATGAAAAGTGAAAATTGTTTTAAGTATTTCTATTATTCTTCAGTCAACACCGTGCTCTAAAGAGACTCGTAGGGAGAGTATTAACGATGGCGCTTCGTGGACTATCATCAGCACTGACAAGGCGGAGTACACGTTTTATGAAGGCATGGGCCCTGTCCTCTCACCAGTCACACCAGTTCCAGTGGTGGAAAGTCTCCAGGTATGATTCTGTTATAACAGTCTGACCAAAGCCGTTTTCTGATCCACATCAGGTTAGACTTAAAGTTTTCTTTTATTTTTGATTGCGTGAAGTTAAACGGTGGTGGAGATGTAGCCATGTTGGAGCTTACGGGACAAAATTTCAACCCAAACCTGAGGGTGTGGTTTGGAGACGTGGAGGCAGACACCATGTACAGGTAAATATTTAACATGTGTGTTTTATGGCGCTTACACTCTAGCATCGGCTCCACTCCACCTGGACCGGGTTGGGAGTCTTATGGGCCATTCCCATCTGTACCGGGTCGGCCCGGGCCGGGTAGCGTAGGTTGTTTACATATCTGGGTGGTCTGGTATTTTTCCGGGCCAACCAAGGCTCATTCTCAGCCCTCTTCTCGAGGGGGTCTGCTTCAGGCCGACCAGGGCCAACACACCCACTGCTGACAGCAAATTCACACCTTCCATTAGAGCAAGCCTTTGATTGGTGGGTAGAATCAGCCCACATGGGCTTAAGGCAAGGATGAGTGGAATCAACCGGGCCAGACTGGGGCCGACTGGGGCTAACCGGCCCGGGCCGACCCGGCACAGATGGGAATGGCCCATTGGATTCTCCCACAAGCAACCAAACATCTTTTCAGCCCTCCTCCCGAGGCGGTCTGCCTGGGGCCAAACAGGGCCGACACTCCCACTGCTGACTGATTGGCCAGCTCAAAATCACAAGTACCATTAGGGGAAGCCTGCGATTGGCAGATAGAGTCAGCCCGTGGGGGCCTCCCGTAGGCGTGATTCATTATTGTTCTGGACGCTGTGGAGTTAACAAGCCTCTGACCAAGCCCCCCCCCCCCCCCCCCCCCCCCCACACACACACACACACACACAGTGCTGTCAGACGCAGCAAAGCAGGATGCAAATTCAGAGTCAGAAAGTCTCCAAAATGCAAGACTGCTCAGGCCACTTTTGTTTAATAATGGAGACACCTCCAACTTCTCTGCGCACTTTTGCTCCGCCCGCATGCTTGGGAGATGCGCTTATGACATCACAGACCACCCGTGTGCTCAATCACGTCCGCATTCCTAAGGCAGTGTGGAACAAACACAGCCAGGCTGGGGCGGGCGGAGCAGAGTGGAGTGGTGCCGATTTAGTGTGTGAGTGGCATTAGATCGGGGCTGGAGGACCACTTCTCTGCATGTTTTAGTGTTGTTTTCCTGCTCCAACACCCAATTCAATGATTAAATCACATTCTGCATCTTCTCAAATTCTCCAGAATCCTATTAATCACTCATTGATTCAGACTAAGTGTGTTAGTATGGAACACATAGAAAAACATGCAGGTCGTGACCCTCAAAGCTCTGCTTTAGATTAGCCATACAAACACTAATCTGAACTATTCTTTAGGTGTGGAGAGATCATCCTGTGTGTGGTACCAGACATCTCTGCCTTCAGGGAGGGGTGGCGCTGGGTGCTGCAGCCGGTCCAGGTTCCTGTCACACTGGTTCGTAATGATGGGATAATCTACTCCACCGGCCAGACTTTCACCTACACACCAGAGCCGGGGCCTCGGCCCCACTGCAATGCCACCGGGGCCATCCTGAGATCACGCAGCACTTCTTCATCATCACCAGAATCTTCATCATCACCCTCATCATCTTTGGGTGGCCTTGGGGAAAGCCATGGGGCGTACAGCAGTAGTGAATCTGGGCTGTCTGCACTGACATAGTGAATCTGGTTTTGTGCACATTGGCTATGAGTGAACAAATGGTGCAATGGTTCCAAAGTGGCTCATGGACCTCTGGAAAACTGTACAGAAGCCCCAAAACCCTCTTCATGAGACTGAAGTGACAGGAAGCGCTTAAAAACTGAGAAAGGAGGTTCAAAGGAAACACATCTATACGAGTCTGTACATTAGCACCCTCTGGTGAGTTGTGGACGTGTTACAGAGGACTTCATATCCTTTCTCACCTGAAAGTAGGTGAATGTGCCTTCTGACTTTCATATAATACTTTTTTTTTTTACTTGCGTTTTAATTTTAAATCTAACTTCCTCTTTTTCACCACTAAGCTCATATTTTTTACTGAAAAACCTTTTAAATATTAGTTCCAAGACAGGGAACATTTTAAGAGTAACATAGTTTGTATTAGGGCTGCACAGTATATCGAAAAATTATCGTCATCGCGATAACAGGACGTGCGATAGGCCCATCGCAAAACACGGCAAAAACAGCGATAAATGTTTGGTTCAAACATTTCCATCCGTGTCATAAATCAGCTTTTTGTAAACCAGCTCTGTTTTTTACGCGGAAGTATTATTTGACCAATCAAATGTAGCCCTTCTGATATGCGGCCAATCAGATGGGTCCGTTCACGTAATACGCCCGCCCACTACGTAGACCCTTTTGGAAAGCAACACCCGAACAGAGTTAGCGGCGCCGTTCCCTTGTTCGTCATGCTGGCTCAGAGCAACGAACGCACTTTGTGCTGACGTTTCTGGATTCAGCGCTGCTTTCAAACGTGAACGTGACTCCGCTCGGTGTCGTTAAGCAGCTGATAATAACCGGGCTGACTCCGACACGTGCCAGTGAACCAACCCACCTTCATGTCGCTAGTGTTAGCCCCAGGCTTCGGTTAGCTTCCAGCTAAAAGGCTACAGCACTCTCCTCCCTGTCCCACCCTGCTAAAGAGGGCCTGGAAAAGTTCCCCCACACATTTTCATTTATGAGCTTTTATAACCTTGTTAATCAGGATAGTTGATTCGCTGCTGCACATAAACTGTCAGTCAGAAGCTCTGCTAGCCGGTTATCTTAGAGGAGCTAGTTCAATTAGTTAGCTTGTTATCAGAATCATAGTTGCAGTTTCATCATCTGAGCTGCTTTTTAAGATCTAGGTAAACTTGTTCAATTTGGGGTTAAAAACAAACGTTTTCACATATTTTCCATGTAGTTTTTTGCCAGTTCCTCTTCTGAAAGGTAGACAATTGTTTTTCTCTTTCCCTCAGAAAATCTTAATATTCTCTTAGTTTGGCCCAGCACAGTTCACTTCCCAGTTACAGCAACAGCCTTATATCATAACAAAATGTTCAGTAGCAATGAGATAATTTGCTGTTGCATTTAAGTGATGTTAACTATTATTTAACATTTAAACTATTTATTCTAAAACCCTGGTAAGGGATGTTTTTCTGTATTTGGAGCATCAGAAAAAGTTTTATGGTGTTGGTGATGTTTTAAAGTCACTGAGAAACTGTGTGCATGCAGTTTGTTGTTTTGCTGCTAATACAGTAGCAGGTGCAGCTGCTAATACAGTAGCGGGTGCAGCTGCTAATACAGTAGCGGGTGCAGCTGCTAATACAGTAGCAGGTGCAGCTGCTAATACGGTAGCAGGTGCAGCTGCTAATACGGTAGCGGGTGCAGCTGCTAATACAGTAGCGGGTGCAGCTGCTAATACAGTAGCGGGTGCAGCTGCTAATACAGTAGCGGGTGCAGCTGCTAATACAGTAGCGGGTGCAGCTGCTAATACAGTAGCGGGTGCAGCTGCTAATACAGTAGCAGGTGCAGCTGCTAATACGGTAGCAGGTGCAGCTGCTAATACGGTAGCAGGTGCAGCTGCTAATACAGTAGCGGGTGCAGCTGCTAATACAGCAGCGGGTGCAGCTGCTAATACAGCAGCGGGTGCAGCTGCTAATACAGTAGCGGGTGCAGCTGCTAATACAGCAGCGGGTGCAGCTGCTAATACAGTAGCGGGTGCAGCTGCTAATACAGTAGCGGGTGCAGCTGCTAATACAGTAGCGGGTGCAGCTGCTAATACAGTAGCGGGTGCAGCTGCTAATACAGTAGCGGGTGCAGCTGCTAATACAGCAGCAGGTGCAGCTGCTAATACGGTAGCAGGTGCAGCTGCTAATACGGTAGCAGGTGCAGCTGCTAATACAGTAGCGGGTGCAGCTGCTAATACAGCAGCGGGTGCAGCTGCTAATACAGTAGCGGGTGCAGCTGCTAATACAGTAGCGGGTGCAGCTGCTAATACAGCAGCGGGTGCAGCTGCTAATACAGTAGCGGGTGCAGCTGCTAATACAGCAGCGGGTGCAGCTGCTAATACAGTAGCGGGTGCAGCTGCTAATACAGCAGCGGGTGCAGCTGCTAATACAGTAGCGGGTGCAGCTGCTAATACAGCAGCGGGTGCAGCTGCTAATACAGTAGCGGGTGCAGCTGCTAATACAGTAGCAGGTGCAGCTGCTAATACAGTAGCGGGTGCAGCTGCTAATGCAGTAGCGGATGCAGCTGCTAATGCAGTAGCAGGTGCAGCTGCTAATACAGTAGCAGGTGCAGCTGCTAATACAGTAGCGGGTGCAGCTGCTAATACAGTAGCGGGTGCAGCTGCTAATACAGTAGCGGGTGCAGCTGCTAATACAGTAGCGGGTGCAGCTGCTAATACAGTAGCGGGTGCAGCTGCTAATACAGTAGCGGGTGCAGCTGCTAATACAGTAGCGGGTGCAGCTGCTAATGCAGTAGCGGGTGCAGCTGCATATTTTTGCAATAAAAATGTTATGTTGTAATGGAATTCATGCATTAGTTTTTGTTTGCTTTGAGCCCAGAGCAGACGTCACACGCCAGACGACATCAACACTGCATACTTTAGTATTTGTTCATTTATCGCGAGTAACATCGATATCGCAATATTAAGCACTGTTATCGAATATCGCAGGTTTTCCTAATATCGTGCAGCCCTAGTTTGTATGGACCAAGAAATGTTACTGTATTATTGTATTCATATGTTTTTGCAAGCTTTTGCTGAGGTACATTTTAACTTTTTTTTGTGTTATACTGCATACTTTCATTTTTCCCCAAGTCTTTGGTTTCTGTTTCGATGCTCGTCTTAAGGTGTTTTTGTAGTAAGTTCCTTTTTCTTTTGCTGTTTTTATTGTCATTAACACGCTTTTAACATTATCTTGTGCTGTGGCAGTTGGAAAAAACTGTCTTTTTGTTTTTAAAGAGACATTTTGTGAATTAGTCTTATTCTTTTAAGAGATTGACCAGTTAGTAGTGAATACATGATGTCTGTGGTTGAGCTCAGAATACATGTTATGTTCTTCCTGATCATTTAGCCTCTTTTTTTAATTTGTTTTTATTTTTATTTTACATAACGCAAAAATAATCTGTCTCTTGTTAAAAAAACTATGTTTGTGATCTTTTCTTTTAACAGATTTGAACTCTGGTTATGTGTTCAAGAAAGCTTTAAATATAATCCTGGAGCATTGTAGCTCCTACAGTAGTCCCCTAATTCCTTATTGATGTTCTGCTGCTGTTCATATTACAGTTACATATTACAGTTCATATTACAGTGTAGTTTACTCAAAACGCCGGGAGCCGTGTCTGGCTCCGACCCAGGGAGACGGGACCAGGCCTCGGTACCCAGCCCTACCAACACGTCACATTTTAGCCCATTTTGACTAAGCAGTGTTGTTTTAATGCACAGCATTTCACCCCCTTCAATTAGAGAAATAAAGTACAGAAATATAATTTTACTCGCTGATGAAAATTAAACTGAAACCTTAGATGGTCTGTTAGCTCAATCAATGCCATAGCTTGCCACCTTTGGCCAATAATTCAATAATTTCATGATCCCAACACAAACACACAGCAGACACAACTAAAGTGCAGAGGATTGTGAGGCTGAGGCCTTCCCCAGAGCTAGCCACTAGCGCTAGCTCTGGTGGCTCAGGTTAACGGTCAGTCGAATCTAATCATTCGTAAATTTAAGCATTTAGAGATGAAAAATGAAAGTCTTGATTAGTGATCACACACTGGTGTGTGAAATGCAGATGTGGACGTTTTAGCTGCAGAGAATTGGACCGATGACATTTCTCCAGGGTCTTTGAGACCTTGCTCTGAAGCAAAAATCCACATTGAACATTTTGATCTATTTGCCTTAATTGTAGCTAATTTTAAATTTGATAAAACACAAAGAAACCATGCCCTCATCCAGTCCCTGCACATGCTGCCACTTTGGCATGCTCACCAGGGCAGAGGTCAAATTTGTCCCACTATTTTTAAACCGGGAGCTCATCGGATGAAACCGGACACTTGGTGACGGCTGAGGCGAGCATCTGTACCAGTGGGTTAGTTGCATCTGTCACTCTTAGTTTTTTATCCTTAAAGTTGTTATTTTTTCTGCTCATCAGGACAAAGTATTTGAAACTGAGGGTTTAAGAGTTCCTCTGTGAACGACAGCGTAGAGACGTGTAAAGCCTCGTCACGTGGCATGGAGAGCTGTGAACAAGGACATGCAACATGAGAGGTTTTAGCTGGCATGATGGTGTTGATATCACACAATACTTCCTAAAATCGGGTTTGAGTGGATCTGGTTGATCCTTCGTTCTGAGGTTCTTCAAGTTATTCAAAGCTCTGACTTGTTCATCTTCTGGTGGATTCTCAAGAAAATCAGGTTGAAATTCCACATAAAACTTAACTGGAGTATTCCTCGTGTGTGTGTGTGTGTGTGTGTGTGTGTGTGTGTGTGTGAGAGAGAGAGAGAGAGAAATTGGGTAAGACAAGGGGTCCTGCTGCTGGGAGGGGATGGCTGTCAGTTCTGGGGATAAAGGTCACGCGTCCTCCTTTTGATGGGATGGTTTGTGTGGTTTAACTGGATCTGTTTACTATAAAACACTTAAATCCAACACAGACTGGTCAGACAACGGGAACAATGGATGCATTCCCATTTTGAGTCTGTTGGTATTTTTCTGAAAGCTCTATGATCAGAGTGGATTTCTTACCAGAAACATGTATTCTGATGTATTTTTCTCCAAGTCTTGAGATTACCCCTTTTCAATTGGACATGTTTTAAGTGTTCATCTATCCTCTATTTGTGAGTGCTTTTATAGGTTTGAAAACATTATCCGACTTGCCTGATCCCTAAGTGAGCATCAGTTGCACATCTCTGCCCGTAATAGAAACAGATCGTTTTCTTCCACTGACACAGCCGCCTCAGGGACACGGCTCCGTCCTGTTCACGTTATTTCTTCATCCATTTGTTAAGGACTTTCTGGACTTTGGACAACAGTTTAAGGCACCCGGTCATCTGAAATGCTTCCTCTGATCCTTTTCTTGCTTGTTTTTCACACTGCGCTTTTTGTGGCAGCGCAAACTGTCGGAGACCTCCAGAGCTTCACCTCCCATGGAGGGGGCACAGCTTTCCACCCACCAGGTATGTAGCCCAGTAACCTCTTTTTAGTTGACTCATTTCTTCATTTGTGTTTATTTCTTGTCTAATTTTGTTTTGATCAAATCATAAACATTTTACTAAAATAGCATGCTACTTTTTTCAACAAAACAATTTAAAAAGACTGTAGATCTTTTAAAGTGTGTGTTGGTTGAAAGGTCGTGAACTAAACCTTCTCTTGAACAGCCTCAGTTCGAAGAAACAAACTGTTACGACTGGACTGACGAACAAATTCTGGTTCAAGTCAGAAAGTGGATTAAAAACCACTCGAATCAAATCATTGATTTCCCTCTTTATTCAGGGACGTGTTTTGTTTGCCTTTTTAAAAACAGAGTTTCTTTAAGATGACTGATTTTTCCAGAAGACCCTGATTGTTTCAGGTTTCTAGAAGAATTCACTTCAAACATTCTGAAGTATCCCTTTAAAGTAGAGACTAATTATACACCCTTAATATTTGCTTCTGAAATAATTTATGCTGTTAAGTAGATTTGTTTCATCAGACAATATATCCTTTAAGTGGTGGTTAAATTTATTTTTATCTTACTGTTGTGTCACAGCTCATTGCACGGAATAAAAGAGGCCACTCATCTATGCAGAGTTGCAGTAAAATCATACGTCACATATTTACTCATTCTGTTGAATTCACAACTTTCCTAAAAACTTTACAATATGATTAGCTCCACAGATTCCCTACAGAGTGACTGTAACACACACATGTGAAAAACTATTTGCCCCCTTCCTGATTTCTTATTCTTTTGCATGTTTGTCACACAAAATGTTTCTGATCATCAAACACATTTAAATATTAGTCAAAGATAACACAAGTAAACACAAAATGCAGTTTTGAAATGATGGTTTTTATTATTTAGGGAGAGAACAAAATTCAAACCTACATTGCCCTGTGTGAAAAAGTAATTGCCCCCTGAACCTAATAACTGCTTGGGCCTCCCTTAGCAGCAATAACTGCAATCAAGCGTTTGCGATAACTTGCTACGAGTCTTTTACAGCGCTCTGGAGGAATCTTGGCCCACTCATCTTTGCAGAATTGTTGTAATTCAGCTTTATTTGAGGGTTTTCTAGCATGAACCACCTTACTAAGGTCATGCCATAGCATCTCAATAGTATTCAGGTCAGGACTTGGACTAGGCCACTCCAAAGTCTTCATTTTGTTGTTCTTCAGCCATTCAGAGGTGGATTTGCTGGTGTGTTTTGGGTCATTGTCCTGCTGCAGCACCCAAGATCGCTTCAGCTTTAGTTGACGAACAGATGGCCGGACATTCTCCTTCAGGATGTTTTGGTAGACGGTAGAATTCATGGTTCCATTTATCACAGCAAGCCTTCCAGTTCCTGAAGCAGCAACACACCAGACCATCACACTACCACCACCATGTTTTACTGCTGGTATGATGTTCTTTGTCTGAATTGCTGTGTTACTTCTACACCAGATGTAACGGGACATTTGCCTTCCAAAAAGTTCTACTTTTGTCTCATCAGTCCACGAGGTATTTTCCCAAAAGTCTTGACAATCACTGAGATGTTTCTTAGCAAAACTGAGACGAGCCCTAATGTTCTTTTTGCTTAACAGTGGTTTGCGTCTTGGAAATCTGCCATGCAGGCCATTTTTGCCCAGTCTCTTTCTTACGGTGGAGTCGTGAACACTGACCTTAACTGAGGCAAGTGAGGCCTGCAGTTCTTTAGAAGTTGTCCTGGGGTCTTCTGTGACCTCTTGGATGAGTTGTCTCTGCACTCTTGGGGTAATTTTGGTCGGCCGCCCTCTCCTGGGAAGGTTCACCACTGCTCCATGTTGTTGCCATTTGTGGATAATGGCTCTCACTGTGGTTCGCTGGAGTCCCAAAGCTTTAGAAATGGCTTTGTAACCTTTACCAGACTGATAGATCTCAATTACTTTTGTTCTCATTTGTTCTTGAATTTCTTTGGATCTTGTCTAGCTTTTGAGGTGCTTTTGATCTACTTCTCTGTGTCAGGCAGCTCATATTTAAGTGATTTCTTGATTGAAACAGGTGTGGCAGTAATCAGGCTTGGGGGTGGTGGCTACAGAAATTGAACTCAGGTGTGAAACACCACAGTTGGGTTATTTTTAACAAGGGGGGCAATTACCTTTTCACACAGGTTTGGATTTTGTTCTCTCCCTAAATAATAAAAACCATCATTTTAAAACTGCATTTTGTGTTTACTTGTGTTATCTTTGACCAACGGTTAAATGTGTTTGATGAACAAAAACATTTTGTGTGACAAACATGCAAAAGAATAAGAAATCAGGAAGGGGCAAATAGTTTTTCACACCACAGTACTGTATCTATCTATCTATCTATCTATCTATCTATCTATCTATCTATCTATCTATCTATCTATCTATCTATCTATCTATCTATCTATCTATCTATCTATCTATCTATCTATCATCTATCTATCATCTATCTATCTATCTATCTATCTATCTATCTATCTATCTATCTATCTATCTATCTATCTATCTATCTATCTATCTATCTATCTATCTATCTATCTATCTATCATCTATCTATCTATCTAATAGTTCACATAATAATAATTCACCATTTCTGATCCAATATGGGTTGACATAAATTAGGTGTTTAATTTTTTTACGGTAGCAATACATATTTCAAGAACAGCCACACACACACACATGCACACACACACACACACACACACACACACACACACACACACACACACACACACACACACACACACACACACACACACACACACACACACACACACACACACACACACACACACACATATATTTATAATCTCGTTTTAATAAATAATTGATTCACAGCATTTTGCTTAGATTTCAAAAAAGTTAAATAAAGTTTGACTAAATTTGACCAAATTAAATTTACAATAAAAGGTAATCGTTAACAAACTCATCTTTTAGAAATACAGGACTATTAACCAATTAATTCCATTTTCTACTGTTTGTTTTGACTTTTTTCCCCACCTGCATACATTGGGAAACAGTATCCACCTATTTACCCGGAGATTGTTTTTGCCACAGTTTATGGATCTCACACTGTGGGCGGGGAGCAGCTTGTTTTACGGAGGTCTGCTGATGGTGAATTTTACTGGCTGACCTTTGACCTTCTGCAGATTGCTCATTGAAGCACCCAAACTTATGTGTCACAGAAAAAAAATGAACCGTGACTCATTGGACCAATCATCCCATATGTTCCCATCATGCACTTGATCCTGGAAGACACTGTAGCCTTAAATATGATAGTTCATTAGTCACATAGTCCAGAGTCTTCACCGCTGTGTGGTGAGGAACCATCTGTAATCAGTCTTATAATATATACTTGCATTTAATATTTAAGTAAAAGAGATCGCTTTTGCATCCCTTTCTTTTCTTCCGTATCACACTTTAACAGGAACAGAAACTAGATACGATTTAAATTAAATAAACGTGAAAGTGCTGCTCCCATTTGAATTTCTGTTCTAAAATGGAATATAAAAGACAAATTCATGATTTTATAACAACTAGAGTGCACCTGGAATAAATGACCACCCACATGTGGATTTGTAGGATGTGTTTTTCTTTAAATCAGCTAGTCATAATGTATTGAACTTATTTAGTGGGTTTGTTGCTAGCCTTTTAAAGGGCGAGTTTATATCATCATGTCTGTGTGAAAAACGTCTTAACAACTAATATTTTACTTTTTAGCATTTTGAACAACCTCAGTTTGGAGAAAGAGAAATCAGTTCTGATTGTACGGACCAGCTAATTCATTTTAGGGCCAATTTTAAAATGGATTGCTGCCATTTAAAAATAAATCTGAAAAAAAAATCAGCAGTTTGTATAAATGCTATTTTATAACCTAGAACAACATAAATTTAAAATTACAGAATTACAAAGAACTTTATGTGGAGTGGAAACCGGTTGGATAAATCCCAGTTTAAGGAATAATAATTTATCTGTTTATTTTTTTACTGGTTGGATTTTTTTGTAATATGTGTGCCCGAATCATGAAATGCAACATTTATGACAATGTAAAGGCTGTAAGATAGAATTAGCATGAACTAAAATAATGATAATTATGTGTCTGTAGACCCATGTATGGTTGTGTTTCCACCATGTATGAACGAGGCTGATCGCTACAGCCTGGAGGCTCTGAGGAACATCCACCAGATGATGGACGATGACCAAGACGGCGGTATTGAGGTGGAGGAGAGCATGGAGGTACAAGTCCTCTTATATTTAAGCTGTTACTCACTTTTCTCTTGCAGAGTGAAGCAGTACAACAACAGGTGTTCTGCCTGGAGTTGTCAGGTGCTCCTTCAAGGATAGCAACAGAGTATAAGTTTGCTTTTTGGCTCAGTGACAAAATCAGTTTGCACTAATAGAAAACTGGAACTCTGGTGGCCTTTGTGGTCATCCTGACTGGAGTATAACTGACTGGACTAGTTTTTTAGTTGATAATGAACTTTTACATAACGAACCTAAGGCAGAGAAACACTTGTAAATTAAGGCTTCTGCAGCCATGCTTCTTCAAAATGCTGCAGATGCTCCTGAACTTTCCTAAAAAGACACATCCATGAGATGGATTTATAAGAAGTGTTCATTTGGGTGTGCTTTCCACAGTTTTCCTCAAAACAAATCCATTGGCAGTAAACCCAGAATATTTTGCATTTACAGCATTTAGAGCTTCAGGTTACAGTTGACAGGCTGACATCAGACGAGTCAGCCGAACCCATTAAAATCCAGATATGCCATCAGCCATCACACGAAGCCTGTGTTTACAACTGAGAACTCATTCCAAGGCAGCTCTGACGCACTGCATCAGTTACATTTGCAACATACTTTAATGCTGCAGTGGACATAAAAACACAGACCCCCATTAAGTCTATTTAAACAACAAGGTCAACATTAAAACATTTTTCAAAGGTGTCACTGCACCTAAAGAATCCAAATATTTAGCTCATTAGGCAGCTTTATTTGTATAGCACATTTCACACACACACGAGCAATTCAGTGTTAGTCATTTAGGAAGTACTTTAGTACTGTTTTAGTTGTAAAAACTATATAAGGATATAATGTAATGATCTATTAAATGATTCTAGGAAGAGTAGCTAAGGCAGCATGCTGCAAAGCTAATGGGGATCTAACCAAATAAACAAATGTAAAAATGACAGAAATGTTAAAGCTGATAGCAGTGACTCATTAGGGTAACCAAGTAAAATGTGCCTCTGATCTCATATTCTCCAGAGAAAAACTAAGTTGTGATGTATCCTCAACCATAAGTGAGAAAAAGGTCTGGTTACATGTCATGACTATGTCTGCGGAGACATGCAGCATCATTATCAAGAATCTTTGTCATTGTACCAGCGTCCCGGTACAAAATTACAGTTTCAGAACAACCTGTGCAAGGTCTGACATGACAGTAACACACCACCTTACAGAATCAGGCTGAACTGTGGGCCTGCGCATACCTGGTGCTCCCATATGCAGAAGTGAAAACGTGTAACACGAGGAAAACATGGGGGAGGGAGAAAAAGGCATTCCAGAGTTACCCCTGACAGGGGGTAGCTTTGCCATGCAAACCAAACACCTCAGCATAAAACACAAAACGTCTGACAGTTCACAGAAACAAGTCTCCGAGAAGTAAGGCGGAGGGGATGGGAACCTCTTCACTTCAGAGAGAGCTGCAGCCTCCGTGAGTTAAACTTAAAAAAATAGGAACAATAAGAAATTTATACATCAACACAATAATCTAAAAATTAACTAAAAATTCACACCTCCCTCAAGTTATTTGTGTTTACTAGCTGAAGTAAACAATCTGTTGTCGGCAAGAGACGTCACGGCAATGGTAGGCAGACCCACCAGAAAAGGTCTGTGCCCCCTGCTGTCCTGGAGAAGAATTGTTTCACAACACACCAACTGAGGCCTAGTCCACACGTAGCCGGGTATTTAAAAACGAATATCTGCCCCTCCAAAAACTTGCATCCACACCACCTCGTTTTAATAAAAAACTCTGTCCACACGTACCCGGATAAATACGTTGTTAAGGACATGCCAGACCTGTAGGCGGCAGTACTTCCCCCGTTCTTAACCTCGTCCTTCATCTGTGGTCTTCCGCAAGGAGCAGTAATTCCGCTTGCAAAAACAAACAAGCAAAAAGCGCTTGGACAATTGATAAAGCGAGCGCAGCTCTGAGGGCGTCCATGCTGCCGGCTAGTGTAAACACAGGTCGCACACGTGATGTCAGCATTTTTTTGTCGCGGAAAGTGACGTGGACCTTAAAACTCCGGTTTTGTCTGTCCACACGCAGACACCCAAAACGGAGAAAACGTAGATCTTCATTTTGGCCGGAGTTTTTAAAAAGATCCGTTTTCGTGTGAAAAAACTCAATTTTTGTGTGGATGGCAGGCCAAAACGTAGAAAAATATCTACGTTTTGGCAGATCCCGGTTAAGTGTGGACAGGGCCTTAGACTTATTAAAGGAAAACATACCTGTCAATGTGTGTCTGTGTGTGTGTACTCGTTTATACATTCAAGTGAGGACCAACGACAAGCTCTTTACCTGCAAAGTGAGGACATTTCACCTGGTCCTCACTTTGGTACAATGTTACAGAGCTCTACTTGTTAGTTTTAGAGGTATGGTGTGAGTTAAGTGTTAGTTTAGGGTAGGGTTAGAAAAAGATTGGTTAGGGTTAGGGTTAAGCGCAGTTCAGTCACTAAAATGAATGAAAGTCAATAACCTCACAACGAATGCTAGATGAGAATGTGTGTGTTTCTGTGTGTGTGTGTTCATGCGTGAAACTTGCTGATGGAGAAATACCAACTAGGCTTCATGGTTCTTCGTTTCTGAAAGAGTTCTAACATAAATTGTCGCTCTTGAAATTTATAGTGGATCTGCAACAGGCTGCACGCTGAGTTGTACATTTTAGCTGCAAATCAAAAATAGTGAAGATAAAAGACACAACCTTTGTTGTGAAATCATAAATTGTTGAAAGTGTGCTAAATCCTTGATACACAAAACACCTCACCAAAGGTACCAAAGAGGTCATTAGGACATAGAAGTAAAACCTTCTTAGACTCTGAGTCAGTCTCCAGAGAACAACTGCATGCATTTTATTTTTCACATGAATGTTCTGCAAACCCCGCCTGAACATTTTACCATGCTGTTCTCTTTGTTGTTGCTGCAGTTTATCATCGAAGACATGAAGCAGCAGCAGCAGACCCAAAAGCACAGCAAACTGCACAGAGAAGACCAGCACATCACAGTGGAGGAGCTCTGGAGGGGCTGGAAGTCATCTGAAGGTGGACATTTTTATTAAAGCTAAAATTCGTCTCTAAAGGTGGAAAGTTTTACTTTATGCAACTTTGGGTTTTTGTTTGACAGTACATAACTGGACTCAAGATGAGGTCCTACAGTGGTTGAAAGAGTTTGTAGAGCTGCCGCAGTATGAAAGGAATTTTAAAGACTTTAAGGCCAATGGAAACACCCTCCCTAGGTGAGACGGGGAAATGGGATGTGTAAGCATGGCACAGGAAAAGTATGGGGTGCCATTTGTAAAGTCAAACAGTCATAATCTAACAGCAATGTTTTTGGTTATTTAGCATATCATAAGAGAAAATATTGGGAGTTCACTTTTTCAAAATCCTATTTTCATCATGTTATTCATACATCTATAAATGTTAAAGTTTCCAAATAAATATTTAGTTAGCAAGCTAAATATTTAATTTGTAGTTAACTATTTATTTTGCAAGCAAAATATTTAGGTCTGATCTAAATATTTAGTTTGTAAAATAAATATTTAATTCACTAACTAAATATTTAATTTACTAATTAAATATTCATTTTGGAACTAAATATTTAATTTGTAAATTAAATATTTATTTTCCGAAACAAATATTTAGATCCCAGCTAAATATTTATTTTAGAGCTAAACATTTAGTTAGCAAAATCAGTATTTGGGAAATAAATATTTAAGTCTGAATCAAAAAATATGAAATATAATGTGGAGCTAAATAATGTCGTGGAAAATTAATATGTAGCTGGTACTTAAACATTTAGCAAACATGCAAATTTGCTTGCCAATAAGCGGAAGTTGGTTACCAAAATAAAAGTTGGATCTCGCTAACTTCTTTATAAACTCTTGCTCCGAACCAGAACTTGTTTTATCTCCGGTTCTATTCTTCTGAACATGTCCGACGTATTGGCTGAAGAAGAATAGAACCGGAGATAAAACAAGTTCTGGTTCAGAGCAAGAGTTTATAAAGAAGTTAGCGAGATCCAGCTTTTATTTTGGTAGCCAACTTCCGCTTATTGGCAAGCGAATTTGTATGTTAGCTAAATGTTTAAATACCAGCTAAATATTTATTTTCCACGATGTTATTAAGCTCCACACTATTTTTTATAATTTTGGGTCAGACTTAAATATTTATTTCCCAAATACTGATTTTGCAAACTAAATATTTAGCTCCAAAATAAATATTTAGCTGGGATCTAAATTTTTTTTTTTGGAAAATAAATATTTAATTTACAAATTACATATTTAGTTCCAAAATAAATATTTAATTAGTAAATTAAATATTTATTTTACAAACTAAATATTTAGATCAGACCTAAATATTTAGTTTGCAAAAGAAATATTTATTTGGAAACTTTAACATTTATAAATGTATGAATAACATGGTGAAAATATGACTTTGAAAAAATGAACTCCCAATTTTTTCTCTTATGATATGCTAAATAACCAAAAATATTGCTGTTAGATTATGACTGTTTTACTTTACAAATGGCACCCCATAGAAAAGCACCAATGTTTTAATGTGTTTTTAAAGCTGAATAGGTTTTTGTCTCTAGGATTGCAGCAAATGAGCCTTCCTTCCTGAGTGGCCAGTTGAAAATTCTGGACCAGAGAGACAAACAGAAGCTCAATATCAAAGCCCTGGATGTGGTGCTGTTTGGAGCACCTACACGTAGGAACAAATCACCACCTTTTACTTTAGATGCCTCTTTTGTTTTAACGTCAAATATAACATCAGATTTCTTCCCTGTTCACGTTTCACAATTAAATCCTTTCTCCCACAGGCCCCCCTCATAACTACATGAAAGACTTTCTGCTCATTGTCTCCGTGGTGATGGGCGTCGGAGGCTGTTGGTTTGCTCAGGCCCAGAGCAAAGCCAGCAAGGTCCACATTGCCAAAATGATGAAAGATTTAGAAAGTCTGCAGAGAGCTGAACAGAGCCTCACGGACCTGCAGGAGCAGTAACTACTTCACTTATATTTCATTTTTCCAAATCTTATCTGCTACAATTTATTCAATGACTAGTTTGTGCGAATAAACCAAAAAAATATGAATTTCTTCAGACTGGAGCTAGCCCAGGAGGAGAAACGTAATGTGGCAGAGGAAAAGCAGAACCTGGAGGAGAAGATGAGGGATGAGATCATGGGGGCGCAGGAGGAAGCCCATCGCCTTCATGAGCTGAGGCAGGGAGCGGTCAGTGAGCTCAGTCGTCTTCGATATGCAGAGGAGGAGCTGGAGCAGGTAAGAAATGTTAATTTTCAAATGAAATCACAGGGATACATGTTTGCTAATCTTAGTTCTTTGGAAAGTTTTCAAGCAAACCTAAAGCAGATTTATTTATTATTTTTATAAATGCAAATTAGCACAGGCACAAGTATGACTTACTACAATATACAAGTGTAACATTATCTTTTGGCGTAATGTGACTCCCTCCAGCTGTAAAATCTAGGTCATCTAATGTTTCCTCCAGTCAGTTAAAAATACCACGGCCTGGCAGTCATTCTGATCATGCCTCCTTCTGGCAGGAAACGTACATTTGGATCAACAGAAAGTTGCTTTTTCTTCCTTTTGGCAAATGTTGCCAAGCAGCACCCGTGTGTCTTAAAGAAGCTGTCAGTTGCGTCAAGGGGAAAATTTGAAACACCTTTATAAAAAAAAACAATTAGCAGTAAATTATAAGCACAAGTTGATTTTTTAAGTAATCCCCTTTTCAGATGTTGCACATTTAAAAGGAGAATCTCATCAACAACAACTGGTCTAAAGAACCTTTCAGGTCCCAAAATCCCAAATAAACAAACCTCCAAATTTCATTTTTAAGCTTGTGAAACATTAATTATTGACAAACATATTTGATTTCGACTTTATGGTGTACAGTTTGACTTTTACAAAGCTGAACTTTATTCATAATGAATTTTGCACTCTTGATTGATGAGTTTGTTTTAAAGCATGGTACCACCATACATCTGCCACTTACAAAATCAGAATGGAAAAAGAAACATTAATATATTCAGTATGTAGTGACTTCACAATAAAATACAAAACAAAAAAACAAAAATAACCCGAAAATAGTCAAAAATATTAGTAAAATGAAATATATTCAGACGTCAGATATTTTAAGGCTGAATTTTGTTAGTTAGTTCCTACCAGTTTTCTGAGACTGCTTAGGAGGCATGATCTCTATTCAGATGAGTCAGATGAACTCATCATTTCTGCTTATGTGGTTTGAGGACTTGAGATGAGGAGTAAGGGTTCAACAGATGAGAGCAAAACCAACGAGCCTGACAGAAAAAAGCCCCAGAAGTTAAATTTCATCTAAAATAACAGGTAAAATAAAACAAAACAAGAGTCGTGTTTGTCTATAATAATAATAATAATAATCATTATCAAACTTATATAGCTCTTGTTTAGGACACTCAAAGATGCTTTCGTGCACTCTCACATTCACACACTGCTAGTGATGGTAAGCTACTTTGCAGCCACAGCCGCCCTGGGGAGGTCTGACAGAGGCGAGGCTGCCATTTGTTGCTGTTGGCCCCTCTGACCACCACCAACACAAGAAAGTTGGGTGAAGTGTCTTGCCCAAGAACACAACAGCAGAATACCCCCGGCGGGAGCTGGAATCGAACCCATGACCCTCCGATCATGAGGCAACCCGCTTTACCACCTGAGCTACTGCTGCCACTATTAGTTTGATTTAAAAAACTTGTGATGACATTTCAGATCTTTGGAAGCCAATGAAAGTATTTTTTTATTGTAAAGTGCAAAAGCTTATCCCAACTATCTGGCGTTAACACTTTGAGACCATCGTTTGTAAATTTAAGATATGTTTTAAGTTTTTAAGCCATTCGTTTGGAGGGTTTGGAGAGACATTGCTTGGTCAAAAGCTATACCTATGTTCCTGTGGCCTGATTCAGCAGCTCATTCCAAATGACCAATATCTTGCTTGTTTAGTGGATCGTTGCTGTGAGAAGATAATATGAAACATTTGGGATTATTTGAAAAAAAAATCTTTTAACTATTTATTGGTATTTGACAGGAAGTAGCTCTGACTATTTAAACAGTTCAGTCTCCAAAAAAAAAAAAAGCAGTACAGCTGGTTATCATCAGCATATCAGTGGAACCCTGTGGTACACTACATGTTAAATCAATAGTATTTAGTGTTGACAGCTTTAGGCCTAGTCCACAAGTAGCCGCTTTTTTTAAAAACAAGTATCCGCCCCTCTAAAAACTTGCATCCACACCACCTCGTTTAAAAAAAAACTCTGTCCACACGTACCCGGATAAATACGTTGTTAAGGACACGCCAGACCTGTAGGCGGCAGTACTTCCCCCGTTCTTAACCTCGTCCTTCGTCTGTGGTCTTCCGCAAGGAGCAGTAATTCCGCTTGCAAAAACAAACAAGCAGAAAGCGCTTGGACAATTGATAAAGCGAGCGCAGCTCTGAGGGCATCCATGCTGCCGGCTAGTGTAAACACAGGTCGCACACGTGATGTCAGCATTTTTCTGTCGCGGAAAGTGACGTTGCGGACCTTAAAACTCCGGTTTTGTCTGTCCACACGCAGACACCCAAAACGGAGAAAACGCAGATCTTCACTTTGGCCGGAGTTTTTAAAAAGATCTGTTTTCGTGTGAAAAAACTCCGTTTTCGTGTGGATGACAGGCCAAAACGTAGAAAAATATCTACGTTTTGGCAGATCCCCGGCTACTTGTGGACAGGGCCTTAGACTGTCACTGAAAAAAACACATATCTTACCTCTGACATTTGGCTAGGTCCGTGGAGCACTGAAGCAGGCAGAGAAGGAGATGCTGGCCAGCTGGACAGTTTCAGGTGCTCTTCAACAGTGGCTCCAGCTGACACACGAGATTGAGGTTCAGTACTACAACGTTAAAAAGCATGGTGCAGAACTACAGCTTAACATTGCCAAGGAAGAGGTAATGTACAAAACCCTGTTTAAATCTTTAAAAGCAGTGTTCTGTGTGTAAATACATAACACATATAGGCAAAAGGGAATACTATTAATCCCGTTATCTACAGTTTTTACATTAGTCTTTGGTTTGTGCTTTATCTTTGCAGGCAGAAAAGATTAAGAAGAAGAGGAGTTCAGTGCTGGGAACTCTTCATGTGGCACACAGCTCATCTCTAGACCAGGTTGACCACAAGATCATGGAGGCAAAGTGAGACAGAAGGTTCAGGATTTATTCTGCTACATCTCAAAACACAGGGAAGATTTTATGACAAAACCTTGTGCGTCCAACAGGAATGCATTGTCAGAGGTAACAGCTTGTCTGCGAGAGCGCCTTCATCGCTGGCAGCAGATTGAACTGCTCTGTGGCTTCCCGCTTCTGAGGAATCCTGGACTAGTGAACCTCACCGCTCAACTCTACTCTGAGTCTATGGGTCTGGGGTTGTCCCGAGCGCCCCAGTCATCCCGCTCGTGTCACAGCTCCATTCATGGATCTGTAGAAGATCTTCTAGATGAGCCCACTTCTCCGATTTTACCACAGATGTCAGGTAGGACCAATGGGACCAATGAATTAAAAATCAAAACACAAATAATTTAATTACTTTAAGTTAGTAGTTCAGAGCATAATGTAGTTCCATTGTCTTCCATCCAGTTTCTCTAAACATTTAGCTATTGCTCAGCCTTCGACAGCTAAGCTTACTGTGGTTTTTAGCATTTCTGTTGAGGTTTTACATATGAAAGTCATTTTTTTTATGAAAATAGCCAGCAGCGATTTTGATTAATTTACCTAAACAAAAAGATTCAAGCATTGAGACATTTTGGGATTTTCTTTTGGGGGGTCCATACGATAGGATTTGTATAATTTTTATATCAAATCAAGCTTTGATGAAAGCTTTAAGAGTTCACCATTCTTTTAGTATTTTATTTTTTTCCCTTGTTCTGGAAACTCGGAGGTCAATGCTTCTATTTACACAAAGGTATTAGGTAGTGCATTTGTAGAAGCTTGCTCTCTTTTTCTAGACATTTTTTCCAGATCAGTTTAAAGATCACATTTATGTAAAAATCCAAATGGCCTCCATACTTTAAAATCAACTTTGCTTCTGAGGTCTTATGATAAACACCACAAAGACAGCCTTAAAAGTATAACATCAATACCTGAATGAGTCAAAGCTTTATTGGTATGAGCTGGGCAACCTTCACAATATTTGGTAGGCAGTCCGAATGCTGTGACTGTTTAGTACCATCATTAGCTCATGTGAGTATGTTTAGCTGATCAACACGACTACCTAAAACCTATATGTTTATATAGAAGTTTGTTTGCCAAAAACACACATTTATCCCTTGTGTTTTCTGGTTTTGTTAGACATAAGGGTAGAAAATTTAACATGTTTAATATTTGCCTTCTTCCATTTCCAGTTCCACCCCTGAAGCGCTCTCCACGATTGCGAGGTTCCACCATACGTAGAGTATGTCATCCTGGGGTCGTCCCTCAGCCACCGGCTGCCCTGATTTCCCCTGACCCTGACCTTCTGATCCCCATTCGAGCCCCCTATCCTCGCTATGATGAAGGAGAGGAACTGGTCCTTACAGCTCTTAAAAAACAGTAGGTTTCTCTGACCGTGATTTCACACCATTGTTTTTCATTTGAGCCTTAGAACCTGTCCACACGTAGCCGGGGATCTGCCAAAAGGTGGATATTTGTCTACGTTTTGGCCTGTCATCCACACAAAAATTGATCTTTTTAAAAACTCCGGCCAAAGTGAAGATCTGCGTTTTCTCCATTTTGGGTGTCTGCGTGTGGACGGACAAAACCGGAGTTTTAAGGTCCGCAACGTCACTTTCCGCGACAAAAAAATGCTGACATCACGTGTGCGACCTGTGTTTACGCTAGCCGACAGCATGGATGCCCTCAGAGCTGCGCTCGCTTTATCAATTGTCCAAGCGCTTTCTGCTTGTTTGTTTTTGCAAGCGGAATTACTGCCCCTTGCGGAAGACCACAGACGAAGGACGAGGTTAAGAACGGGGGAAGTACTGCCGCCTACAGGTCTGGCATGTCCTTAACAACGTATTTATCCGGGTACGTGTGGACAGAGTTCTTTTTTTAAACGAGGTGGTGTGGATGCAAGTTTTTGGAGGGGCGGATACTTGTTTTTAAAAAAAAAACCCGGCTACTTGTGGACTAGGCCTTACTTTAAGCTCATTGACACGTGTTTTACATGTTTTCATCTACTTTCTCTCATTCACAGAGATTCCCAAGAGAAGTTTTTGGACTCGGATTATGTTACACCTGTTTCTCTCAGCAAAGTGTTTCATACTTCTACAGCTGATCATTCTTCTAGAAGATTCTATCTTGATGAATCAGAGCCCTTCTCAGACTGTTTCGTTACAAAGCATCTGAGTGAAAAAATAGAAGCAGTTGCAGAATCTCCACTTCACAAACGTCACATAGAGGAGCATGAAACTTCTTCAGATCTGGATGTTTGTCGCAGAAAAATTACAAAAGAGAGAATATTAGATCCTTCTTTGGAAACTTCTTCGCTGAAGAGCTTTGGTGAGGAGTCCTTTGTAAACATGGTACCACAGAAGATATCAAAGAATGCAAGTGAGTCTCCAATGGAAGTTTCATGTGGAAAAGGATTTTCTGATGAGCTAGAAAAAGAGTTTTCACTCCCCAAAATGGAAAAAGATGCAGGAGTGGATTTGAGGGATCTTACTTTAAGGAATGTCCACAGAGAAAAATGCAATTTACCACAGGACATGAGAACAATTCTTAGAAATGAATTAGAAGCATCAATAAATGGCAGCAGGAAGATTTCAAGAGATATGATGGGGTCATCCATGGACAGTGTTTCCAAAAAGATGACAAGAGATGATGCTGAACTTTTGCGTGAATCCAGAAGAATAGTGAGAAAGAATTCAATGGGAACATTTCAAGACACAAGTTCTTTGAAGCATCCGCTGAATACTGGTGAAAGTCATCATGAAGCATCTATGAGAGCATTAGCAAAAGACCAACCAGTTGACACTGCAATAATACCACAACAGAAGATATCTAGAGATGAGCTGGAATATTGTACAGACTCTGCTTCCAGTAAGATGCTACCCAGAGAGATGCTAGATGAACATATGGATATTTCATCCTCCACAGATATGCAAGATTTTAGTCTGGAGCCGCCAACAAGCCGAGGGTTACCGAGAAATGAAAATGATGGGTCTGTGGGTTCTCTTAGAAGGAGAATACCAAAGATTCCCAGAGATGACATCCGCAGTTCATCAGATCCTTTCCTAGGAAAAATGTACAGGGACAGAGTTGACGTCCCAATGGAAGCACCCAAACAAGTAATACTCAGGGATGAGTTGGGAGCAAATCAAGTTGAATCAAGTTCTTTACCATCTTGCTTCATACAGCCAGACCTCATGTTAACCTCCCAGGTGCCATGGAAGTCTTCATCTGATCTTCATACCGTTGGCCCTCTTAGCCAGCTTGTGTATGATGGAATCCTAGAGAAGTCATGCAGCCCTACGGCATCCATCCCAACCAACTTATCGGCCTCCACGCCAAATTTGCCTCAGAGCAGGCTGCACCCTGAATTTGAATCACCTGTGCCACCACTGAAGGATGTGTTACCACCACTTGCACCACCCCCTGAAAGTGGAGATGATAAAAACAAAGACAGGGATAAAAGCAAAAAAACATTAAAGCTCAAAAATCTTTTTAAAAAGAAAAATGAGCCTCCTCCAGAGAAGCTTCAAAGTGGTCTTCAGAAACTCTGAGCTTATGGAATCAGAAACTGGAGCTTGGGAACTCCTTTACCTGTACTTACCTTTTGATTTGGCTGGTTGTTCAGCTTAGGCCATAAGAGCTGAGGAGGAACGCTTTAAGCCTGGTTTATGCTTCTCCGTCAGCTCTGCAAGGGACAGACACGCACGGATTGACAGAAGCGTTTTGCTCTCATACTTCTCCGTCTCCTGGAGAGTGTTGCAAAGCAATTGCCCGGCAGGACAACAGAGGGCGTAGCGCTGTTCTGTGGTATCCTGTCATGTACCGGTCCAAGATCATGTGTTTATATTGTGTTTTTTGTGTATATATGAGACTTTTAACATGGACATATTTGTCTCTCATTCTCCCACCGCTTCATGCGCTCCCCACCTCTAAACCCATGTTTCCTGTCATTTCCGTCCACAAATAAAACGCTTGCTGCGCATCTTTTCACTCCTCCAGTCACGGGAGAATTAAATGTTCATATTTTTAGAGTTTTTTCGCGAGGTATTCTTCAAGCTTCTCCGTGTCTGCTGCTAGTTATCCTCGGCTCTCTTTGCAATGGCGGTGCTGTAAACAACAGCAGCGTCCTGACCAATCACAAGCTTGCGTAATCTGTCTCGTTCGACGGATGTTTTAAAAAGTGGGCTCGACTCCGTACGTACTTGCGTGCCTGCCGGAGCCCTACGCAAGGACGGATAATGTCATTGCGTGTCTCCGCACTGACGCAGACGGAGAAGCATAAATCAGGCTTTAGCTGCTTGCTAGGATTTGATGAACTAGTGAATTAGTTTGACAAGTTTGGCTTGAAGACCACATCCTCAATTCCTCAGAGAACAAGGACTGGTGCTGATGTGCAGTTGTACTCCTAAGAAATTGTATGAATTTAGAAACGCGATGTAATGCAGTGGTTAAACAGAGTTATGATCTTAGTAAAACAGCACCTTATTGAAAACATGCTTCATTTAAAGGTTGAATATGGAACACAGGCACTATAGCGACATCTAGTGTTTAGAGGTGGTAGTGAAACAAAAGAACACATTTTCCAGCCGTCGGGTGTTGGTTCACTGCTGATACATGAACCGACCAGCCAGCACCATGTCCAGATCGTACCAATATCATCCAGCCAGCCGCTAAAAGGGGCATTTCGGTGTGTAAACGGGAATGCCCCCTTATTCTTATTCACTCTTGAAAAGTTACTTCACCTCCGATATTTCAAAATAAGATATTTTCTCTGCTCATTTATCTATTATTTGTCTTTTTTATCCAGTTATTGATCATCTGTGCTCACCCCGCCCTTTTATTTTGTGTTGTTGGTTTTACGTGAGAGTGCTCCACGCTCTCTGAACCTGAACCTGCTTTTAAGTCCCGCCTCCTGCTTTATCCACAGTTTATACAAATATTAAACTCAAAATGGGAGGCAAGGAATTAACTTGAATTGGGAGACTGTCAATAAGGCAGGACACAGACTTTTCTTCTCTTCGACTGTCTCATGAGAAGCGCACCTGAAGCACCACAGCTAGACAGGAAGAAGCCAGTGGCTTTCAAAATAAAGTAAAATTTAAACATTTCATGATATTTAAATTCATTTCAAACTATGATTATGGTTAGTATACGTGTGCAAATGTAGGCTATAAATCTCATGCTTTACATTGTTTTACCATAGTGTAACGGGTTACGATTTGTTAGCGTTGGCCTTTTATGTTGAAGGGGTGTTCTTGGCCGGTTGTGTGGAGAGTTCCAATTTGGCTGTTTAGAAAGCGAAAATGAGCTAGTATGAATGGAGATTATAAACGTTTTTCCTGGAGTTAAACCGTGGGTTGCAGCAAACAGTAACCCAGAATAAAGACCCAACACAAGTTGGAGTCATTAAAATATCCTTAAAAAAACAAAAAAATGTATCTTATTTGTGTGGCGGTGTGACACGAAGTGTAGACTTTTATTTAGACAAATGTCTAGCAGGGAAAATTACACATTTTGATGCCCATTCTGATTGGTTGGTGAGAAGCTACAGTAACCCCCACTAGGCATTTTTGTAGCCCAAGCAGAAACACCCTGCGGCTGGCTGGATCCTGCTCAGTCGTGCAGGATAAGGACTAATTTCCAGTAATAACTTTATTTTAACAGTTTTTACTGTGAAGAACGTCTTCAGGGCTCAGAATCAGCTGCTTGACTTAACGAGTTTGCCGTTATACACAGTCCCAGCCTCGTCCTGCCAAGCTGACTTTTTACGGCACAGGTGCCCCCCACTAGCAGGGAAACATAAACCCAGTGTCTTGCCCGTCAAAATAAAAAGTTGATTAGTTTTAAAAAAATATATAGCTTTTATAGAAGAAACTATGTTCATTCTGCACACCTCTAAACGCCCTGCCTTTAGGGTATTATTTTTTTTTAAATATAGCTTTTCATAGAAATGTTCCATTTTCCACTTTTAACTTGATGGGTTTACTTTGTAAAAAAGTCTTACAGTTAAAATATTTTAGGTTGTGCATTTCTCTAACGCTTTGCCTAAGGCTGAAAGATTGACATTAAAATGACTGCTTCTGTGTAACAGAAATTCACCAAATCTGAAAGATGGAAAAGGCCATGTACAATGGTGTGAAAAACTATTTGCCCCTTTCCTGATTTCTTATTTTCCATGTTTGTCAAACAAAATGTTTCACTTTTAACCATTAGTCAAAGATAACACAAGTAAACACAAAATGCAGTTTTGAAATGGTTATTATTTAGGGAGAGAACAAAATCCAAACCTACATTGCCCCGTGTGAAAATGAAATTGCCCCCTGAACCTAATAACTGGTTGGGCCTCCCTTAGCAGCAATAACTGCAATCAAGCGTTTGCGATAACTTGCTACGAGTCTTTTACAGCGCTCTGGAGGAATTTGGGCCCACTCATCTTTGCAGAATTGTTGTAATTCAGCTTTATTTGAGGTGTTTCTAGCATGAACCACCTTATTAAGGTCATGCCATAGCATCTCAATAAGATTCAGGTCAGGACTTGGACTAGGCCGCTCCAAAGTCTTCGTTTTGTTGTTCTTCGGCCATTCAGAGGTGGATTTGCTGGTGTGTTTTGGGTCATTGTCCTGTTGCAGCACCCAAGATCGCTTCAGCTTTAGTTGACCAACAGATGGCCGGACATTCTCCTTCAGGATGTTTTGGTAGACAGTAGAATTCATGGTTCCATTTATCACAGCAAGCCTTCCAGTTCCTGAAGCAGCAAAACAACCCCAGACCATCACTTTACCACCACCATGTTTTACTGCTGGTATGATGTTCGTTGTCTGAAATGCTGTGTTACTTCTACGCCAGATGTAACGGGACATTTGCCTTCCAAAAAGTTCAACTTTTGCCTCATCAGTCCACAAGGTATTTTCCCAAAAGTCTTGACAATCACTGAGATGTTTCTTAGCAAAACTGAGATGAGCCCTAATGTTCTTTTTGCTTAACAGAGGTTTGCGTCTTGGAAATCTGCCATGCAGGCCATTTTTGCCCAGTCTCTCTCTTACGGTGGAGTCGTGAACACTGACCTTAACTGAGGCAAGTGAGGCCTGCAGTTCTTTAGAAGTTGTCCTGGGGTCTTCTGTGACCTCTCGGATGAGTTGTCTCTGCACTCTTGGGGTAATTTTGGTCAGCCGCCCTCTCCTGGGAAGGTTCACCATTGTTCCATGTTGTTGCCATTTGTGGATAATGGCTCTCACTGTGGTTCGCTGGAGTCCCAAAGCTTTAGAAATGGCTTTGTAACCTTTACCAGACTGATAGATCTCAATTACTTTTGTTCTCATTTGTTCTAGAATTTCTTTGGATCTTGGCATGATGTCTAGCTTTTGAGGTGCTTTTGATCTACTTCTCTGTGTCAGGCAGCTCATATTTAAGTGATTTCTTGATGGAAACATGTGTGGCAGTAATCAGGCTTGGGGTGGTGGCTACAGAAATTGAACTCAGGTGTGAAGCACCACAGTTGGGTTATTTTTTAACAAGGGGGGCAATTACTTTTTCACACGGGGCAATGTAGGTTTGGATTTTGTTCTCTCCCTAAATAATAAAAACCATCATTTCAAAACTGCATTTTGTGTTTACTTGTGTTATCTTTGACTAATGGTTAAATGTGTTTGATGATCAGAAACATTTTGTGTGACAAACATGCAAAAGAATAAGAAATCAGGAAGGGGGCAAATAGTTTTTCACACCACAGTACAGTATTTTTATGAGCCAGTTGGGGTTTAGTTAGAATTTTGGAGTTGTTAAGTTGTTCCTTAATAAGGTTATCTATAAGAAATCTACATGGTTCTGGTGGTTAAAACATAGTAGGAAAGCCATTTGTCTATCAGAGGTATATTTATTTTGACTTATAGAATAGCTTGGAAATTGGATGATTTAGAACAGATAATTAGGACTTTTAAATTGCTTTGTCTTTCACAAAAACATTTAACAAAAATCAAACCTTTGTCCTATTCAGTGTTAATTTTATACGTTAATGAATAATATTTTTATATGTAAAGTAGCTCAAATTAGAAGAAATTCTATAATAACGTGGATTCGGTCTAAGCTCTTTTTTGTGGTTAAAAATATAGATATTTTTTATTTCAGAATGAATTAAAGCTTTAGGATTTTTATTTATCTGCCAAGTTAATGTTTTCAGTTGTCTTAGAAAATAACATAACTTTTTGTTAGAAATGATAGCAAGAATAGAAATAGGTATAGTGAAAGAAGAAAATGTCGGAGCCATGATTTAAAAACAAAACGAGCTTTCTGAGAAATGAAAGTCTACGGGTTACAGGTCTATGGAAACATTCAGCAAAATATCTAAACATACTGACTAAAAATTAGGGTTGTGCATATTTTTTAGCTGTTTACATACAGTTGTAGAGAGTGATGCATGCTACGTTTAACACCAGGAGACGAACACACACCTACAAACTGTGCACAATGTTCTGGTAAGAACTGGTAACAAGGAGACCAAAAGGAAATCCATGTAGAGTCTAGTTTATCTATCTATAATCTATCTATCATCTATCTATCTATATCTATCATCTATCTATCTATATCTATCTATCTATCTATCTATCTATCTATCTATCTATCTATCTATCTATCTATCTATCTATCTATCTATCTATCTATCTATCTATCTATCTATCTATCTATCTCTCTATCTACATCTCTCTCTCTCTCTCTCTCTCTCTCTCTCTCTCTCTCTCTCTCTCTCTATATATATATATATATATATATATATATGTATATATATGTATATATATGTATATATATATATATATATATATATATATATATATATATATATATATATATATATATTCTGTTCACTTTATTCTATGGTTGTAATTTATTTGCCAAAAGAATCAAAGAACTTGTGTGAGGAGAGACTTTTCCTTAAGGCTTTTGCTGTGGCTGTGTTGCTTAGCAACAAGAAAAACATTTCCTTTTCTACAAGGCAAATGGCCTATGTGGTGTGTGTATGAAGAAATGTTGATAAGCAATAAAGGAAAAGAAAATCAAAATGTGATTTAGTCTGCTGGGTTACTCAGGGTTCAGATGTCGAATTCATTTGTTTTTTTCTGTCACAGCCACTAGAGGTCAGAAGTGTTTAGAAGAAACATCTGACTATCAAGATGCTGAATTCCATATGCATCATCACAACTTAGAAAATAGTCCTAACAAGAAAAGTTGCGGACAGAAAAACATGAAATACATGCAGCTTCCCCCTGTGTGAGGATGACCTGCAGTTACAAAGCAGAAGATAAAGTTTCACTCGTAGTGTCATCTTTAATGTGTTACAGTTTTTCTCAGTTGCTTTGGTGCATTTCTCACAACAGAATAAAACTTTGCACAACAGTTAGTTCAACCTCCACAACATGCAGTCGTTTTGGCACAACCTAGTGGCGGTTTCATGTTCATTTCATCCTTTGGACATGAAGCAGTTGAGTAAGTACACATGTCTAAAGAATGGTCACTTTTGACTTGCTATTCATCACTATCTCCTTGCTTTTATCATGAACGTCACAATTATTTATACTTGTACCGGCTGAATAGTCATTGTCCTTACAACTAATAGTCTTTGTTTCATTTCTTGTGTCATTGCACTCAAAATTGTTGAACATCTTGTCAAACAAACAATCTGTACACCCATTTTGAAAACCTTATTTTTAAGGAGTTTCCATGGAAATCTCTATATATTCCTTTTCTCAGGTGAACCTTATCTCACACTAACGAACATTGCTGTGTGTGTGTCCTGGTGACAATCGGACAATGTATGTAGTGGTTTGGGAAAATGTTAGCTTCCATCACTCTGCTGTAGTCAGGCAGTGGTTTGCAGCACACGACAGGATGCTTATGGAGTTTCTTCCTCCTTACACTCCATTCCTAAATCCAATTGAGGTTTTTCTCTTCCTGGAGGTGGAAGGTATATGACAGGCATCCACATACCCAAATGACCCTGCTAGCAGCTATGTATGCAGCTTGTGGTGACATCACAGCAAAGTCCTGCAGAGGGTGGATTCCACACTCCAGGAGATACTTTCCCCAATGCATCGATAGAGCTGACATTAGCTGTAATGTTGATGAAAATATGTGGGCAGACAGACGGGAGCATTTAGATATCTATGCAGCAGTGTCTGTTCAGTTTTTTTTCATAACTACTGCAGTAAGGTTTACTGTCTAAGTGAGTTTATGTTTGCTGTAAAATGTTTGTTTTACTGTATTTCCCCAGTTGCACAATGCTGTGAACAGTTTCAATTAAATATTATCAAGAGTGCATATGAGGTGTCTTGATTTTCCTTTACAATTTATAGTTTTCAAGATGCCATGCATGCTGTCCAGACTTGACATGTCATTGGGAAACACCTACAAAGAAGTCCGTCACAATGAGAACGTGTTCAAACCATTTGATTTTGTGACCAAAGGTGCTGGTGTAATGACTTGTAATTGTGATAGCCCTGACACTTTGATTGATACAAGGACTTGCTTTTGATGAATATATTATCTGTTTTGATTAAGGGACTTGCTTTTGAAGCATTGACTACTTATTTTGAACAACAGACTTTTCTTTTTGATGAAGTGACTCACTTTTGCAAATTATCGACCATGTTTTGCAGTTTGCACTAATTGTTTTGAGAAGAGCCTTAGTAGTGGTGCAGAGATCAATTCTGTTGTGAGAAATGCACCAAAGCAACTGAGAAAAACTTTAAACGTGAGTGGTTAGGTCAGACAACATCAGCTGCTGTTTTATGACGAGGAGATCAATCATTTTTGGAGCTTAAACAATCACAACTTATATCTTTCATCAAATCAAATGTTGCTACTGTCATGTTGTGGGCAAGGT